GGACTTGGAGGCGGCTGGGGCGGGGGGTGCTCTAGGTGGGACAAGCCTTTGGCCTGCAGAGGCTACTCCCTGCCCAGCCCTACCCCTACCCCCCACCCCGGGGTCCTGGCTGGCAAGTGCATCCTGTTGGGGGCAAACTCCAGGGCGGACCCCACTCCCCCAGCGACCTGCATGTAGGGGAGGGGGTATTTAACTCCCAGTCTCTTCTGGATGGACAGCTGGCGTATCTTGAAAGACTGCCATGCACAGCGTCGCGCCTTTTTCCCCAGTCTGCGTCAAGTGCTTTCCCCCCACTATTTCTTTAAGGGCTCTGATAGTTTTACACTACCTCGTACCCATTTTGCATGGACAAAAACGGAGGCTCCGGGAGCACCGTGTCTCCGGTGTCTTGTTCGGGGCTGGCGCAAGGCAAGACGTTCGGGGACTAACGCGGGGCGCGCGCTGTGCGGGCTCGGAAGCGCTCGTGGGGCGGGGCGCTCGCGGCCGGGCCTGACGTCGGGCGCCCTCCGGCCGTCACTCGGCGCCCGGCCCCGCCCCGCCCCGCCGCGCCGAGCCGAGCCGGGGAGCCGGAGCCAGAGCCGGAGCCGCCGCCGCCGCCGCGCCCGGGACCCGCCGTGCCGCGCGCAGCCATGGCTTTGACCCCCGCAGGTGAGGGGCGCTGGCGCGGGGGCGGCGGGAGGGCAGCCCCGGGCCCGGCTCCTGCTCCTCTGCTGACCCCGCTCTCCCGTCTTCCCCCGCAGAGGCCGAGACCCGCCAGAGGCTGCTGCGCACCGTCAAGAAGGAGGTAGGGGCCGGGCCGGGGGCGCGGGCCGCCACCCCCAGGGAGGCCGCAGAGGCGGCCACAGCCACGCCGGGGAAAGAGTGGCCCGGGAGGGTGGCCCCTGGCGGCGGCAGGGTGGGGGGAGTGGGGGTGGCCGCCGCGAGTGTGGGGCTCACCTGGGTGGGCGTTTACCTGCCACGGGGCTGGAGGGGAGGCCGCCCCCAACGTCTCAGAGCTGTGTGCAGAGGCGGCCGCGGCTGGGGAGGACCCATTCTTGTAGGGCAGCAGGTGTGTGCATCTTGGAGGGGTACAGGCTGGGGGTGGGGGCGCCAGATGAGGCTGTGCAGGAGGCAACAGGAAAGGGGCTGGGTTCGATTTGCGAAGATAAAGTCCTTCCCTCAGCCCCAAATTCCCAGGCCATATCCAGGAGGCGGGGGTCCTCCTCCCTGGGTCAGCTGTGGCTTCCCCAAAGACAGCGTCATCTCAGCACCCTCACCTCTGCCCTGCATACCTGCAGGAGGGAGAGAGTCAAACGGGCTCCCTCTGCTCTCTGGCTCCCCTCTCTCTCCCTGGGGCCTTTGGGGTTAACAGCCAGCAGCTTCCCAGGCCCACACTGCCTGGGAGTGCATAGCTGGGGTGGCCTTAGATGCCTAGAATGTGTGTGTATGTGTGCTTGTGTGTGTGTGCATGCATGTGTGCACGCCCACGCCTGTGTGGTGAGGATGTGGGGCTGGGAGCCTGTGTGTATGCCAGCCTCCGTGTAGCTGAATGGAGAAGTCAGAGTGCGTATCTCTGTGTACGTGTGTTTGTCTGTCTTGGGTGCGTCTGTGTAAGATGCATGAGTGAGGCTGTGACTGTGTGTGTGTGTGTGTGTGTGCGCGTGCGTGTGCGCGCCTGGTTGTGGATATGTTATCCTGTCCCTCCTCCCAGACTCCATCCCTAGCCTGGGAGCTCTCCACTGCCTCTGAGCTTTCTGAGTCTTTGCGTGGCTGAAGATCTTGGGGGCCAGCCAGACCCTGCTCCTGTCTTGTGTTGCTTGTATGTGCGCACGCATGTGAGCCTGTGTGTGTGTTGGGGGTGCTTGCGTGTGGTGGCAGCACCGAGCACCAGGGAGGAGCCCCTCCCTCTGCGGTGGCAGCCTGGAGGCGGGAACCTGTTGCTGCCCCACCCTCCTGGGCGGGTGGGTGTGTGCCTCGGTGTGTGGCCCTGTGTGGCAGGTCCCTTTGTGTTCAGTCAGCCCCAGGGCTGGGTGCACATTCTACTGTTTTCAAATAAGAGACATGCAGGGTATGTGGGGTCCCTCAGAAAGGCCTAGAAGTTTTCATTTGCAGTCCTGGTGTTGAGACTGCACACAGAAAGCAGTCCAGACCCTGTTTCCATCAGAACTCTGAGACCCTCAACATGCTGATGGCTACCACAGGGGGCAGGTGTATATGGACTCCACAAAAATCCTTAGGCTTAAGACAAAAACAAAAACAAGAATGTGCTGCCGTCTTTCCTTGTAATGACGTGGTTAGCTGGCTCAGGGGGGAGGAGTCTGTTAGCAGGCAGAATAGAGTGTTAGCCAGGCCTGGGGGGTGGGGGGCTGTGGCCTGGCTCTCTCCATGCCATAGCACAGCCCTCTCCCCTATCCAAGACTGTGGAAGGATGCATTGGTCCTGATGCCCTCTGAGGTCCAGTCTGTGTCAGTCTAGTTTGGGTAACTGGGTGGGCAGTGGGCGACACGTTGACACCTGTGGCCAGCGGTCTGGACTGCACCATTTCTCCTGGGAACAGATGGCTTCGGGGCTTGGTTTTCTGCCCAGCTCAAAGCTGAGCCAGGTCCTGATGAAAGTGACCTCTTGTCACTCTGCTTGGTGCTTTGAACCCCAGATCTGCAAACAGAAGGCAGGATTCACAATGGCAGGTTCGCAGCTGCTTCTAAAATCCTGCATTTCTAGGACCCAGTCCTTCTAGAAATCACAGCTTCCATTTATTGGGGGGGGGTGGCAGCTGTGTGCAGTTCCCTTCTGCACAGTTGCTTGTGAAGTGGGTGGGGTTGTCCCCATCATATATACAAGGAAACTGAGGCTTGGAGGAGTGAAGTGACTTGCCCCAGAACACCCAGCCAGGAAACAGCTTACTAAACCTCAGGATGGTCCAACATCAGAGCCAAGCTTGTACCTCCAGTCTAACAGCATGCCTGTTCATGTCTACCTTGGGGTGGGTGATTGGTATTAGTCCCATTGTACAGATGAGAAGACTGAGGCCTACAGAGGGTACTTTTTAATTTTTTTAAAGATTTATTTATTTGAGAGGCAGAGTTATAGACAGAGAGAGGGAGAGACAGAGAGAAAGGTCGTCTATCCGCTGGTTCACTCCCCAAATGGCCTCAAAGGCTGGAGCTGGGTGGATCTGAAGCCAGGAGCCAGGAGCTTCTTCTGGATCTCCCACATGGATGCAGGGGCCCAAGCACTTGGGCTGTCTTCCACTGCTTTCCCAAGCCATTAGCAGGGAGCTGGATTGGAAGTGAAGCAGCTGGGACTTGAACTGGTGCTCATATGGGATGCCAGCACTGCAGGCAGAGGCTCCATCTACCAAACTACAGTGCTAACCCTCAGAGAGGGTATGCAATATTTCAAGGGCACAGAACCGATGGAGGGGAACAAGTTCAAGTCTTCTTTGAGTCCCCTGTTTCATGCCTTGGGAGCCCCTAAGGCGTGGTGACAAGTCCCTGCGCCTCCAAGCAGGACCCTTGCCCTTTCCTTCCTTTCCCAACTCTGGGGGGGAAACTCCCCCACTGTGAGAGAGCCGATCTGCAGAGGAATGGAGGGAAGAGCTGTTTGTCTAGGACTCTGAGAGTCAGATCTTCCCTCTCCCCATCCTTTGGGTTCAGAAGAGCCACATCCCTGCCTCACGGCCCCGGAGGCACCTCCCACCCTTGTTTCTCAAAGGGCTGCCTTCACCAGCAGCTGTCTCACTCAGTGAGCCTGGCAACCACCATGGGGCTGGGAACTCTGTCCAGTGCTGACCTGGAGGGCCAGTAGGACCTGCACCCATGAGGCAGGTCAGGAAGGAGCACTGAACTGAGCCAGAGCTGGGTTCAAGTCCCAGGTGCTTTTCTTTATAACAGTTGTACATGAGACACTGGGTTAGGGTCTGTGGGTACAAAGGCAAGCAAGACAGGTTCTGTCCATGACCTGCAGCGGCTGGCCCTCCAGTCTGGCAGACGCTTGGGTGTCATTATAGGGATTAAGTGCAGTTGGTGCCCAGACGCCTGAGGGGGGGAGGTGCAGGACAGGGAGAACTGAGCAGGTGCAGGGGGCCCGGGAAGGCGTGCCTGAGAACGAGATGTTTGAGAGATGAGCAGGCCTTTAGGTGAAGGGTTGGGGTCCCGGCAGGGGAAGGGGACTGTTCCCAGGAGAGGCTTTGTGTCTGGAGGGTGTACGCAGGCGAGAAGGAATTGGAGCAGAGAGCAAGGAAGATGGTGCCAGGTGCTGAGGGGACAGAGCACAGGGTCTTAGCCCAAGGTGAAGGGGACGTGTTGGGGAGGACATAGGGAGGGCCGCTGAACTCGGTTGCTGGCTAACTGCACCACCTTGGAGAAGATCTGTCCTTACCTGCACGAGGGTCTGAGTCCCAGGCTGTTCTTAACAGGTGAAGATGACTCACCTGGCAGGATAAGCAGTGTGAAGACACGCACCCCCCTTAGCCTGAGCTTCTCCTGGCCAGACATCTGTCCCAAGTGCCACCGAGGGCACGCTGGGGATATCAAGGCCATAGCAAAATTTCCTCCATTTAAGCCCAGCCAGCTCCATCCTGGCTCTCTCTGCCCTCCCTGCTACCTCTTAATTTTGTTTTGGTTTCTGGAGCGAGCAGGGACTGGCTTCTCGTTGTCATGGCAACTGCCATTAAAGGAGCCAGGCACGTGATGCCAGTGGATAACGGAAGCAAAGTGACTAACTGCCTTGTTTTCCTGCCTCTGGCTGGGCCTTGGAGGCCTCTTAATTGGAGGGGAGCAGGCAGGGGCCTGTGGGTGGCAGATGAGACCCCGGGAATGAGGCAGGAAGGTGGGGGCACATCCTGGAGGGGAAGCTACATTTAGCTCTGCGCATGGGAGCTGGTGGGAGAAGGGCTGTGATCCTGGCGCTGATGTCACAGCTGTCGGGCACAGCCTGTCCGGGGAACTGGGCCTCGCAGCCTTCAAGCCGGGGGCGCTGGGGAGGGAGGGAGGAAGGTGGGAGGGAAATGATGGGAGCACCTGACGTTATTACGAAGTGATCGTAACCCAGGGTTCTTCCTGAGGGAGGGGGCCGGTTAGGTCCTGCCCCCCCCCCCCCAGGTTGAGTTAGAATTGGCTAGAAGTCACCCAGTTACATCTGAATTTCAGATAAACGGTGAATAAGTTTTTCACGTCAGTCTGCCTCGCTCAGTCTGGCAACCCCACCCCAGGAGGACATTTGGCAATATGTGGAAACATTTTTGTTGTCACAGCTGGCGTTGCTGCTGGCATCCGTCAGGAAGAGGCCACGGGTGCAGCTTAGCTTCCTGCAAGGCACGAGACATCCCTCCGACACAGCCACTACTGTCGCCACAAAGAAGGGTCCAGCCCAGAATGACAGTACTACCCCTAATCCAAAATGTGTAGGACCACAGGTGTTTTGGATATGGGATTTGGGAATATTCGCATCTACATAATGGGATATCTTGAGGCTGCGACCCAAGTATAGACATGAAATTCATTTATGTTTCATAATGACCTTATACACATAGTATGGAGGTCATTGTATACGATGTTTTTAGTGCACTGTAGTTTTACAAATCTTATTATTTAGTTAGTTACAAGGCAAAGAGACAGGTCCAGAGAACTTTTATCCATTGATTTACTCCATAGGTGTCTGTAGCAGCCAAGGGTGGGCCTGAGCCAAAGCCAGGAGCCAGAAGCTCAATCTGGGTCTCCCACATGAGTAGCAACTACTTGAGCCATCACCACTGCCTCCCAGGTCTGCATTAGCAGGAAGCTGGAGGCAGGAGCCAGAGTCTGGTGCTGGACCCTGCTCTCCATACTAGGTCACAGCATCTTAGCCGCCGAGCCAGACGCCCACTCCATGAACCTGTGTTTTGACTGCAGCCCATCACAGGAGGGCCACTGCTTGGAAAGTTCTGGGTTTGGGAGTATGTTGGATTTGAGATTGCACCAGCAATTGCTGGCTTCCTCTCTGTTCACCGAGGGCGTCCGTCCTGAGCACCGTGCTGAGCCGCTCCCTGAGCGTGACCCTCTGCACTCCTCATCTCCTTTGTTCAGTGGATGCGGATCTGCAAGCCCAGAGATGTGGCGCAGTTCCCCTTCGGGTCACACAGCCGGTCAGTCCCTGGGGGAGCCAAGTCCATGCTTTGCCAGGACCCGGATGGTAGCCTCGTGATCCTGCCTGACAGTGGGCAGTAGTAGAGAGCTGTGACTTTCAGGCGAGTCTGTGGACAGCGCTTAGGGTCAGGTGCATACAGGGGAAGCAGATGAGGCAGGTACGGTGCCTCCAGCCCAGCTCGTGCAGGCCAGGCCGTGGTGTTCAGACTTACCCCTATCAGAGAGCAGAGTGCTCTGGAAGATCTGTGAGCAGGAGAGGGTACTTCGAGCTGTACTTGGGGAAGTCTCAGCTGAGAGCAAGCACTGGATGGACAGTGTCTGGCAGCTCTTAGAGGAAAACTCCCTTCCTTGCCATAGCCCTCCCTGCCTGCTTCCCTCCAGCGCCTGTCCTGAGATCCTGTGTGTTGAGAAGTGAAGCCGAGTTCTGACAGGTGCTCGCTGAGTGGACCGGGTATCTGCATACAGGACGTCCGTGCAATCACAGGGAAGATGCTGTGAGGGAAACAGAGGCTGGCCGGGGATGGGAAGGGCTTGCAGGGGGAGGGGAGGGATGGTCTCTTTGGTGAGATAATATTGGGAGGGATGGAGGGAGGAAGTGGTAGAGACATCCACAGGAGGGATGTGCCCAGCAGAGGGAACAGCATAGGCGAAGGTCTTTTTTTGTTTTTTGTTTTTAAGATTTATTTATTTGAAAGAGTTACATAGAGAGGAGAGGCAGAGAGAGAGAGCTCTTCCATCCGCTGGTTCACTCCCCAGTTGGCCACAATGGCTGGAGCTGTGCCCATCCGAAGCCAGGAGCCAGGAGCTTCTTCCGGGTCTCCCACGCGGGTGCAGGGGCCCAAGGACTTGGGCCATCTTCTACTGCTTTCTCATGCCATAGCAGAGAGCTGGACAGGAAGTAGAGCAGCTGGGACTCCAGCCAGCGGCCATATGGGACACCGGTGCTTCAGGCCAAGGCGTTAACCCACTGCGCCTGCAGTGCTGGCCCTGCGAAGGTCTTGAGTTGGACAAAGAATAGCAAGGAGGCCCATGATGCCGGGGCGGAGCGAGCGAGAGTGGAGGAGGAAGAACCAGAGGCCCATTCTGCGGGTGACAGCTTTGACTTTCACTCCCTGGAAGATGAGTGCCCTGGGGGACTTCTGATCAGGGGGGTGGGAAGCAAAGACAGACACCACCAGGTCATCAGACAAGAAAGGAAAGGCCCCGGATTGTTATTTGCTGAGCTTTCAATTCCTGGGCTGGAAATCACCCCCTCCGGCACCCGCTCCCCGGCTCCCCTGCTGTGCCAGGCAGGGGCTCCAGAATCGCTTGCTGAACGGATGCCAGGTGGGGTATTTTGGGCTCTCTGATGCTTTGCAGGATTGGCTCTGATCAGCTGGCGTGCGTCGTGTTTGTGGGCTTCGGAGGGCAGAAAGCCTGCTCATGAATAATGCAGCCCTGTCCACCCCATGCGCTTTGGTGCTTTTTCAGGTCCCTGGCTTCCCGGAGCTTTGGATGGTGATGGGTGTTGTTGGCAGGCTCGGGCACCTGGGCTCCATGTGACAAGAGTGGCAGGAGGGCCCTAGCTGGGGGTCTCTCCTACAGCAGCCTCGGGAGGGGCTCTGGGAGCTGGAGTAGTGCTTGGTGCTGGTCGATGGGTAGGAAAGGACGTTTGAGCACCTGCAAAGGGCCTACAGGGCAGGAAGGGAGGGTCTGAGTCCTTGTTCCAGCCCTGCCCCTAACAACCTGGGTGGCTCCTGGCCCTTCTTTCTTTCCTCTGAGTGACAGAGACAGAGCTCCCATCTTCTGGGTCTCCCTCCACGTGCCCACATCTGGGCAGCCAAGCTTGCTGCAGGCACCTATCACTTAGCAAGAGCTGAGGCTGGGCCAGGCCAAAGCCAGGAACTGGGAATTCAATCCAGGTCTCCCATGTGGGCGGCAGGGACTCAAGTGCTTGAGCTATCACCTGTTGCCTCCTACGTGTGCATTAGCAAGAAGCTGGAATGGAAGTGGACCTGGGACTTGAACCCATGTACCCTGGTAGGGAACATGGTATCGTTTTTTTTTTTTTTTTTTTGACAGGTAGAGTGGACAGTGAGAGAGAGACACAGAGAGAAAGGTCTTCCTTTACCGTTGGTTCACCCTTCAATGGCTGCTGTGGCCAGCGCACAGCGTTGATCCGAAGCCAGGAGCCAGGTGCTTCTCCTGGTCTCCCATGCGAGTGCAGGGCCCAAGCACTTGGGCCATCCTCCACTGCACTCCCGGGCCATAGCAGAGAGCTGGCCTGGAAGAGGAGCAACCAGGACAGAATCTGGTGCCCCGGCCGGACTAGAACCCGGTGTGCCAGTGCTGCAGGCGGAGGATCAGCCTATTGAGCCGCAGCACCAGCCGGGAACATGGCTTCTTAATTGCTAGTCCCAGTGACTATGCCAGCTCCCTTCCTATGGTCACGTTTTCCTGCTTTCTGAGTGGATGGGTTTGGACAACTCCAGGATTCTAAGAACCTTGGCTTATCTAATTTGGGCTGGCGCCACTTTCCGAGAGCCAAGTCTCCCCTGTTTTCTCTACTCTGAATTTGCCAAGTCTATATTTAAGACTCATGAAAACTCAGCGCTGATAAGACGTTTCAGGAAAGCCAAGGCTCAGCGAAAGCCATCCTAATGAGATAAGGATTTATAAAAAAAATGACATATAAAGAGCACCTTTATAGATGACCCCATTTGATTATCCAAGTGCCCCATGAAGTGGATCAAAGACCCTTTCATGGATAAGGAAGGCGAGGCACAGAGATGCCTATGAACTTGGCTAAGGGCATGGAGATTATCATTGTACGGCCTGGGGTCTTGCCCCAGAGCTCGGCTGGGCACTAGTCTGCAGCTAAACCCAGCACCCTGCCCACAGTTCAGAGCTACACTGAGAGGGTGCAGTGAGGGGCGGAACCAAGCTGCGGGGTCACACGGCCCTGAGTTTGAATTGTGGCCCTGCCATTCCATAGCTGAGCAACCTCTCTGATGTTAGTTTCCTCGTGTGTCCAACAGCAGGGGCAGGTCCACCCCACAGCAGGGCAGCTGTGCTGCTGCTGCTGGCCATCAGCAGTGTTTCTGGGGAGGCCTGGCACGGTGCACAGCGCAGCCTGTTGGGAGCAGTGGGTCCCGTCACAGGACGACACTTTGCTGCCCTGTCTGGTCATATGGGAACTTGCAGGTGCTCTCAGCACAGATCTTGCTGTCGCTGCGTGAGCCCGCGGCTGGGGACACTGCAGTTCCCAGAGCAGTGCTGTAGAATGATTAGGAAGAGCTGTCTGTTGAGATCCAAAGCCCTTGAGTGGGAGTGAGCAGGGCTGAGCCTCCGTTGGCTGCATCGCCATCCTGGGGCGGGCAGCTGGATGCCCATCTGGGTCCCGCTGCCCATCAGCCCCATGGAGATGGTCCCCTGGGAGCCTGCTGGCCCTGCTGCTTGATGGCCACAGCCACGGGCTGGGTAAGGAGGCTAAGAGTGCTAACCTCAGACGGGGGCAATGATTTTTTCCTTCTTTTAATGATCGGAGAGCTTGGGAGGTGAATAGATTTTTGTGCTTTTTATCTTTGCACAGTTGTGCGGGACCCTCTGACTGTGGGTGTTTAAGAAGAGTAGCAAATGTGCCTTCTGCAGGAATCCCCCCTTTAAAACTCAGCTAGCAGAGGTTGTGAGAGTTCACGCGACCTGGTGGTACTGGCGGCATTGAATGACATCCCCCTTCAATCTTCTTATTTAGTAAGTTGTGCTTAATCAGTAAATTAGAATTGCAGCAACCACCATTTACCAAGCACTGCTCCCATGCATTGCTTTGCTTTGTCTGAACTAATTCACTGGGCCATCTTCCTGTAGAGCAGGTGCAGGTAGCCGCTCCTGTTTACTGACAAGGAATTTGAACTCAGAGAGGGAAAGGAATTGAATCAGAGCTGAGAAGCTCTGAGCAGGTGGCCGAGCAGGTCATTTTGGCCACCTCCATCTTCCATCCATGTCAAGTTGGATAAAGCCCTGTAGAAGCAGAGAAGGAGGCAAAAAAAATTGGATTCCTTGGTTCAGAATTTGGGGTGCATCAGCTTCAGGTACAGCTATAGCTAGGGGCTCCTGTGATGTCATCAGGGCACTGTGTCACCATCTCTCTGCTGTCTTCCTCTGTGTTTGTGGGCTTCAAGCTCAGCCTGTCTCTGTGGCCCAGCAGCTCCAGGGACACAACCTGATGCCGGGCATGGTGGCAACAGGGAGCGCTTCTCACTTCATGAGTGTCCAATCTCTCCGATCCAGCTCCAGTCACACTGTGCCAATCACAGTGGGACAGATTGCTCTGATGGGTCAAGTCTGGAGGGGCAAAGGGCAGAGTCAACCCGAGGGTAAGGAAGGGGCCCTGGAGAAGAGGCAGGGTGAAGTGACCAGCCAGGGCGATGCAAACAGGCAGACAGGCCGCGGCCGACTATAGCAAGGGGCTAGGACACCTGTGTTTGGAACTCAATCTTGCACAGGATGAGTCCGCTCTTGTGCTGTGCCAGTGTGGTTCCGGGTGCTGCCTGGAGACTCACTGCGTGCCAGGTATCTGCCAGATCCAGGTGTGAAGCCCTGAAATGGTGCCTTCTGTATCTACTGTGTGCAAAGAGTGTGTTCCACCTTCGCAGTGCTCCTAAGGGGTCCCCAGCCCAGACCCCCAGTGTGGTGCAGAATCCCCCTGTGCATCTTAGGATGATAACAAAGTGTAATTGTCCAGGTGGCCTTTTTTTATTTTATAAAGGCTTTACTTTTTTTACATTAAAAATTTTTTTTTTGAAAGATTTATTTATTTATTTGAAAGTCAGAGTTACACAGAGAGAGGAGAGGCAGAGAGAGAAAGAGGTCTTCCACCCGATGGTTCACTCCTCAATTGACCGCAACAGCTGGAACTGCGCCGATCTGAAGCCAGGAGCCAGGAGCTTCCTCTGGGTCTCCCACGTGGGTGCAGGGGCCTAAGGACTTGGGCCATCCTCTACTGCTTTCCCAGGCCAAAACAGAGAGCTGGATTGGAAGTGGAGCAGCCAGGACTTGAACCGGCGCCCGTATGAGATGCCGGTGCTTCAGGCCAGGGTGTTAACCTGCTGTGCCACAGTGCCATCCCCACTCTTTCTCTTCTTAAGCCTCTGCCTGGGGTGCCAGCATCCCATATGGGCACTAGTTCATGTCCAACAGCTCCTATTCTGATCCACCTCGCTGCTAATATGAGAAATCAGTGGAAGGTGGCCCAACTGCTTGGGCCCCTGCATATGTGGGAGATATGGAAGAAGCTCCTGGCTTTGGGTCGGCCCAGCTCCAGCTGTTGTGGCCATTTGGGGAGTGAACCAGCAGATAGAAGATTGCTCTGTCTCTCCTGTCTATAACTCTACCACTCAAATAAGTAAAATCTTTTTTTTTTTTTATTTTTTATTTTTTATTTTTTTTTGACAGGCAGAGTGGACAGTGAGAGAGAGAGACAGAGAGAAAGGTCTTCCTTTGCCGTTGGTTCACCCTCCAATGGCCGCCGCGGCCGGCGCGCTGCGGCCGGCGCACCGCGCTGATCCGATGGCAGGAGCCAGGAGCCAGGTGCTTTTCCTGGTCTCCCATGGGGTGCAGGGCCCAAGCACCTGGGCCATCCTCCACTGCACTCCCTGGCCACAGCAGAGGGCTGGCCTGGAAGAGGGGCAACCAGGACAGAATCCGGCGCCCCGACCGGGACTAGAACCCGGTGTGCCGGCGCCGCTAGGCGGAGGATTAGCCTAGTGAGCCGCGGCGCCGGCCAAGTAAAATCTTTTTTAAAAAATGCACTTCCTCACTCACACTAGCCGTGTCTCAGGGCTCAGTAGCTGGATAGGGCTAGTGACATCCTGTGTGACAGCACAGGTATAGAGAGCTTCCAGAAAGTTCTGCCATGATCTGGACAGAATACTGAGCGCTCCAAATGTATTAACATAGTTCATGTAAAAGGAGAAGTCAGAAGGGTAAATGGTGCTTATTGTCCCATCACAGAGTAAATCTAAGCACAGAGAAGTGAAGTGACTTGTGCAAAGTCACACAGCTGATAAGAGGAGGAGACAGGGCTTGAAGCCAGCCCCTTAGTCACAGTCAGGGACCACTTTTCCTTCTAAGGTCAGAAAGAGGTGGTTACTGTATTTTATGGTTTGCCTGTGTGCATTTTTAAAAAGAGAGATTATTTATTTATTTGAAAAGCAGAGAGAGAGTTTGATTTTTTTTTTTTTTTGACAGGCAGAGTGCACAGTGAGAGAGACAGAGAGAAAGGTCTTCCTTTGCTGTTGGTTCACCCTCCAATGGCTGCCACGGCTGGCACGCTGCGGCCGGCGCACCGCGCTGATCCGATGGCAGGAGCCAGGTACTTCTCCTGGTCTCCCATGGGGTGCAGGGCCCAAGCACTTGGGCCATCCTCCACTGCACTCCCGGGCCACAGCAGAGAGCTGGCCTGGAAGAGGGGCAACCGGGAAAGAATCCAGCGCCCCAACCAGGACTAGAACCCGGTGTGCCGGTGCCGCAAGGCGGAGGATTAGCCTAGTGAGCCACGGCGCCAGCCTAGAGATTAATCTTACACCTGCTGGCTCACTTCCCAAATGGCTGCAATGGCTGGGGCTGGGCCAAGCTGAAGCCAGGAGCCAGCATCTCCATGATGGTCTCCTGCATGGATGGCAGGGGCTCAAGCACTTGGACTACTGTCTGCTGCCCCCCAGGTGCATGAGCAAGGAACTGGATGAGAAGTGGAGCAATCGGGGCTGGAACTATTGCTCTGATATGGGATGCTGGTGTCAGAGGCAGTGGCTTAACCCACTGCACCACACTGCTGACCCCCGAACTGCGTGTATTTTCAGTAACCTGAGAATTTCATTTCTTATTTACCCATAGCTGCCAATCCCTCCAGGCTGTGGGCAGAGGGGTGGGGCTTGTGCTAGAGCCGGCGTGCACCCGTGGAGACGGGGCGTGTTGCCAGGGGAGCTACCCACGTGCAGCAGGCAGGGCAGCCAGGAGGCACAGGCTGGTCTCCAGGGCATGGGCTGAGAATGCAAACCTCTGTGGCCAGTTTTCCTGGGAACAGAAGGAGCTGGAGGGGTCATCCATACTCCTCCATCTTCTCCATCAGCAGCCAAAGGATGTCAAGACTGCCCTCAGTGGACGCTCGGGACTTGGGCACTGGGGGACTTTTCTTGTGAAGGGCAGGCAGGGGGGGTGCGACTGCAGGAAGCCCAGGCCCCGTCCCAGAACACGCCTCCTTCCGGGTCAGGGCAGGTTGGCACTCCCCACACCTCTGGGGGATGATACCTGGCACCTATTTATAGTGAGTCGGTGAACGATTAACTGGGGCCAGGCTGGCAGCCGCCGGGCAGACGCGTTTACATCTCCTTGAAGCCCCAACACCCACATTGAGGGAGGGGCTGGCAGAACCGTGTTCCTAAGCTTGCAGAGCCGTATGCCATGGCCTTGTCATTTTTCGTCCCCTTGCTCTCCCTGGCTGCTCACACCCAATCCCTGGGCTATGGGACCCACTCCTGATTCTTTGCTTTCATTGTCTGTGCTGCATGGAGGGTGGGGTGGGGCTGTCCTGGACCTGCAGGTGAGAGAGAGTCCAGAAGAGGAAGCTTTGAGCCGCTCACTGGTGTTTGCTGAGCCCCTGCCGTGTGCCAGGCGCTGTGGCAGGCACTGGGCTGACAGCAGTTAGCACCCCGGGCAGGGGGTGCTCTGCTCTCCTAGGGCAGACAGTCCCGAGGGGAGGCACCGAACAGCCAAGCAAACAGATCAGAGTCATGAAGAATTCAGAAATGGATGAGAACGCAGCACTGCGGGAAGAGGAGGGAGACAGAGGCCAGAGTGGGCCAGAGTGGTGGTCAGGGTGGGCTTCTTTGAGGAGGTGGCATTTGAGCTGGTACTTTAATGATGAAAAAGAGCAGCTGTGCAGAGGGCTTGAGGCATTCGGGGAAAGCTAGGAAGCAGGGAGTGAGGAGGAGGAGGAGGAGGAGAGGGACAGGCAGGGAGGGGTGGGTCCCCTGTGCAGGTGGCAGGGAGGGCTTCCGATCTGACAGTGCCAGCCCCTTCTCTGCAGTGGCCCTGGAGTCCATTGTGCTGGGAGCAGAAGCGCCTGTCTGGAAGGAGGCCCTGAGCCTGTTTGCAGAGAGAGCAGGACGCCCGCCAACATCCGTCCTCGGTGGCAGAGCGGGGAGAGGCGCTGCTCCTCCTCCCCTTCCTCTCCTCCCCTTGCGCCTGCACTGGCTCGTGCCTGTCACCTGGCCTTGAGTCTGCAGCAGACTCTGCTCTGGCTGCTGTCAGGATGGATCCGCCACATGGCATCTCCCAGCACGTCTAAGTCACCCATGTGCTGTCGGCTCAGCCCTTCCTCCCGCCCAGCCCCCGGCAACCACCGCTCTTGTTATTGGTGCTGTAGTTTTGCCTCTTCCAGGATATCACAGAAGTGGGGCCGTTCCAAGTCCAGCCTTTATGGAGCGGCTGCTTTCATTTAATGATAGACATTTAAGCTTGGGTGTTCCTTTTTTTAGGGATTCTACTTTGGGGACTGAGATAAGGAGTCAGGGGGTGCTGGGTGCCCTGGGAGGGATGGGCTGTGAAAACCAGGGGCTAAGGATGGACATGGGGCTGCTGGGTGCTGCTGGACCCTGGCCCTGGGAGCACAGCCATGGCTGTGACCGTGATGCCCAGCTGAGGAAGCAGGGGCATCGGCCGCCCAGCCGCTCTGCTGCCAGTCCTCTGCTGGGGGAACCTGGGCTGCAGAGCAGGAACCCGGATCCAAAGCCTCGCCTCCGGTGGGCCTGGTGGGCTCCGCCTCTCCCAGATCAGCGGCCTCCTGGGAAAATGGGAGTAGTAACTGCAGTATCTGTATTGCATGGTTCTTGTGAATCTTTGGGCTCATGAGAGTAAAGCACTCACTGTGGGAAGCACCTGTTGGTGTCTGTTGTATGAATAAACAAACCTACTGTGTGCCGAGCTCCTGGCAGGACAGTCTGAGGTTTGAATCCCCACCCTGCCATTCCCAAGCTGTGTGTCGTTGGGCAAGTCATTTCACTGGAATAGGACTTGGTTTCCTCGTCTGTAGAGTAGAGATGAGTTTATTAGTTTATTTTGTTTATTAGTTTATTTTGTTCATTAGTTTATTAGTTCATTTTGGTACCAAAACGTTTGAAATTCATGCATGGCTCTTCCCATCACCCGTATTTTCCGTGAACTCTCGGAAGAGCCCCTGTGAAGTGGTACTGTGCTTGCATGGAACCCACCCACCTCCTTCGGCAAAATCCTCATCCTCTCTGGACTACTGATGGCCCCTAACACAGTGTAAGTGTCACATCAGTCGCTGGTATATGTAGTGTTTAGGGAGTAATGACAAGACTAAGTCTGCAGTGTTTAGTAGAGAGGCAGTGTTCCCCCAAATGCTTGTGTTTTATTTTTTTAAGATTTATTCATTTTGCCGGCGCCGTGGCTCAATAGGCTAATCCTCCACCTTGCGGCGCCGGCACACCGGGTTCTAGTCCCGGTTGGGGCGCCGGATTCTGTCCCGGTTGCCCCTCTTCCAGGCCAGCTCTCTGCTATGGCCAGGGAGTGCAGTGGAGGATGGCCCAGGTGCTTGGGCCCTGCACCCCATGGGAGACCAGGAAAAGCACCTGGCTCCTGGCTCCTGCCAGGATCAGCGCGGTGCGCCGGCTGCAGCGGCGGCCATTGGAGGGTGAACCAACGGCAAAGGAAGACCTTTCTCTCTCTGTCTCTCTCTCTCACTGTCCACTCTGCCTGTCCAAAAAAAAAAAAAAAAAAAAAAAAAAAAAAAAAAAAAAAAAAAAAAAAAAAAAGATTTATTCATTTTTTTGAAAGGCAAAGTTATAGAGAGAAGGAAAGAGGGAAGGAGGGAAGGAGGGAGGGAGAGGGGGAGAAGGGGGGGAGCGAGAGAGAGTGAAAGAGAGAGAATGAATCTTCCATCAGCTGGTGCACTCCTCAAATGGCTGCAGTGGCCAGAGCTGAACCCGGTTGAAGCCAGGAGCCTGGAACTCCATCTGGGTCTCCCACGTGGGTGGCAGGGGCCCAAGCTCTTGGGCCGTCTTGCACTGCTGTCCCAGGTGCATTAGCACTGAGCTGTATTGGAAGTGGATCAACTGGGACTCAAACCAGCACTCATATGGGGTGCTAGTGCGGCAGGTGGCATCTTAACCTGCTGTGCCACGATGCTGGCCTCCGAATATTTCTGACCTGAGTGCTGTTGAATCTGCAGGTGGGAAACCTACAGATATAGAGGGCTGGCGAATGGTCTTATGTTGCTGAGGCAGATACTGCTCTTACCTGTTTCATTGATGGAAAAGTCGAGGCTCAAAGAAGAGACATGATGTGCCCAGATCAGGCAAGCAAGAGCTGAGATTGGAGTCCTGCAAGTCTTTCCCCAGAGCCCAGTGCTTCTAACTGGGCAGCAGGCACTTCCCCAGGAGCTTGCAAGAGGGGGTGGCTGGCCGGTGCTGTGGCTCACTAGGCTAATCCTCCGCCTAGCGGCGCTGGCACACCAGGTTCTAGTCCCGGTTGGGGTGCTGGATTCTGTCCCGGTTGCCCCTCTTCCAGGCCAGCTCTCTGCTGTGGCCCGGGAGTGCGGTGGAGGATGGCCCAAGTGCTTGGGCCCTGCACCCCGTGGGAGACCAGGAGAAGCACCTGGCTCCTGGCTTCAGATCAGCGTGGTGTGCCGGCCGTAGCGCGCCGGCCTTGGCGGCCATTGGAGGGTGAACCAACGGCAAAGGAAGACCTTTCTCTCTGTCTCTCTCTCTCACTGTCCACTCTGCCTGTCAAAAAAAAAAAAAAAAAAAAAGAGGGGGTGGCCACCTCGCCTTGGCTTGGGAATGAGGAGCAGATGCGTGACTTGACCCTGGAGAATGGAGACAGATGAGGTGGGCAGGGTGGCGAGTGGAGGGGGCTGCATGAACCAAGGCCCATGGTGGGAGTCCTAGGGCTTGCACAGGAGTGGCACACATGACCCAGGCTCAGGGTGCAGGACCGGAAGTGACAGGGTTCAGCAGGAAAAGAAGGTTGGACCACGCCAGGGTGGCAGTCACAGCCTGTGCGGTGGCACCGTCCGCCCTCTGTCCCTCCTCAGGACTCTGTGTCTGTGCCTGGAAATGTCCCCAAATACTCCCGAACCCGCCCTCCCACTTTCCCCCCACCCCCAGCCCTGTTCCAGCTCTCACCTCCCACATGCCTCACCCCTAACAAATTAAAGAATGAAAAGCCGCCGGCTCTTTCCATGAACTGGTCTTCCAGCCACAGTGTCCTTCCACCTGTTCCTTCCTTTGGGCTCCGAGACATTTCTGTGGGGGCAGTCACAGGGGTGGAGGGGTCACCTCTGTTTTAGAGCTGAGAAACCAGAGACCCAGATCATTAATGTCTACTTGCTGCTTGGATCTTGATCCATCTCCACCTCCAGGAAGCCCTCCTCGACCTCCTGTTCACCCAATTGAGTCTGGTGTCTCTGTGACTTATTCTCCTAAGATCTGTTTTCTTTGCCTGCAGAGAGGTGGTCTCACCTGGCCATCATTTACCCTTTTCTTTTTTTTTTTTTTAAGATTTATTTATTTATTTGCAAGTCAGAGTTACACAGAGAGAGGGGAGGCAGAGAGAGAGAGAGAGGTCTTCCATCCGATGGTTCACTCTCCAGATAGCCGCAACGGCTGGAGCTGCGCCGATTTGAAGCCAGGAGCTTCTTCCGGGTCTCCCACATAGGTGCAGGGGCCCAAGGACTTGGACCATCTTCTACTGCTATCCAGGGCCATAGCAGAGAGCTGGACAGGAAGCGGAGTAGCTGGGTCTTGAACCAGCGCCCATATGGGATGCCAACGCTTCAGGCCAGGGCGTTAACCTGCTGCGCCACAGCGCCGGCCCCTTACCCTTTTCTGTGATGTAGCTAGTGTCTTTCCATCTCACTGGATGGCAGGGACTCTGTGAACCGGGTTGAAGTCAGGAGCCTAGAACTCCATCTGGGTCTCCCACGTGGGTGGCTTAGGCCCCAGCACTTGGGCCGTCTGACACCTGACATGCAGTAGGCAATTGAGAAACACTGAATGAAGATGCTAAGTGGGGGAAGGCGGTCCTGGGGGAACCTGGAAGAGGTGCCTTTGTTCTTGCTTGGGGATGGAGAGGTTCTAGGAGGAGGTAACAGTTTGGCATGGAGGTGGTGGTGGGGATACCTGGCAGAAGGCACCGAATGAGCAAAGGCACAGGGTGACCGGGGTCAGTGGTGCAGGTGGGGCTGGAGATGCCGGCACCTGCGCCAGGTCTTGGAGTCACTGCACGGTGCCTGCAGAGGAGGCGCAGCAGCACCGCCTGGCCTCGCTCATCGCTTTGCCGTGCAGTTGCCGAGGGGCTTTGAGTCACCCCCTCTGCTCTCCACCTTCCCCCCAACTCTGGAGTTATTTTTAAAGTTCCCCGCAGAGGCCCTGCAAGCATCTGGTGTGACTGCCCTCTCCACCGTTTCTTACGCAGGTTCGAGTCAGCGTGCCTGGGGGATCTGTGTCATAGCAGGGCGCTGGCTCAGCACAGCGCATCTGCAACAGAATTCTGCCCTCGCTGGTGGGATGCCAACACCTGAGATCGCAGGTGGGGAGGAGGCTCTCGGGGTCCTGCTGAGGCAGCACGCCTTGGAGGCCGAGGGGCTACTTGAATGACGTTTTAAGAAATGTTTGCTTGTTTGAGAGGCAGAGAAGTGCAAGCTTCCAGGTGCTTGATACAGCCCCCGGCCAAGGCCAGCGCATGCGTGTCTCCCACGTGGGTGGCAGGAGCCCGGTCGTCCCCACTGATCCCCATGGTCTGTATTAGCAGGAAGCTGGAGTCAGGAGCTGGAGTGGGGCATCCAACCCAGGCCCTCTGATGTGAGCCCTGGGTGTTTTAACTACGGCGCAGAATGCCCACCTGAGTCGACTGGTTTTTATTTAGGCCTACTGTGTGTCTCAGCCACTGTGCTGGGTGCTTTACCCACGGGTCCCTGTGGGCCGAATCCAAGGTGGACAGATTTGTGCCCACCCATGAGCTGAGGATATGTTTTAAAAACCAAGTTCAAGGGCTTTGAAAACTAAACAAGAGATTATGAAACCTAAACTGTATGGGCCTGAAAATACAGATTTATCAAATAAAAGCAAGCAAATGATTGGCTGGGTTTAGCAAATGAAAATTCAGAATACCTGGTCATGTTTGATTTTCAGAGACGCAATCAAAGAGCCCACACGTGACTCCATGCGGTGTGTGTGGCACACTTGTCCTGGAAAAGCAGTCCCTGAATACCCACAGCTTAGGCACATCTGGGCAGCCAGCATTTTCCCTGGCGGCCCCTCCCCTGAGCTACAGAAAGGAGTTAGCTGACCTTGGTCTTGAGCACAGCAGGGTGATCAGGAGGATCTCGGTGAGCATCTGCTGCTGGATTCGCAGCATTAATATCAGAGTGGTCACCAGCATATATTGGGCACCTACTGTGTACCCAGGGGCTCTGGGTGTTCTTAGGGGAGAATGACACTAGATGGGTCTACACGCAGGTGTATACAGAGGGCCCAGGCCAGGGTGCATCCCAAGGAAGAGGACCAAGCAGAGTAAAGGGGTAGATGTGGCCTTTGGGGGGCCCTAATTAGATAGGGCCATCAGGGGGGAGATGTTTGAGCTGACCCCTGAGTGGGGGCGGGGCTAGCGAGGGTGTATAGCACTCATGGTGTGCTGATACCCACTCTGAACCCTGTGTCTGTTTTGCTCGTGGAAGTCTCTCACACAGTAGCACTGGGAGATGGTGCAAGAATTGTTCCAATTTCACAGATGAGAAACTGAGGCCTGAGGTCGCCCAGAGAATGGCTGAGCTGCAGTGGGCCCTGGGCCTGGTGGCTCCTAGGGTGGTGTTCTCACTTGCATCACTAAGGTGCCTTCCTTGTCATGGCGCCTGGTGTGTGCTGGGTCCCCTTTGAGGCCTCTGAGACAGCTCTGTGTGCTAGGGCATGGCAGCTCCATCTGGGGCTCAGGGCCAGTGTGAACCCTGAGCTCAGCACGGTGTGAGGCCGGCTCAGCACGGCCAGGGGGTGTGCTGAGTCGATTGGGAACCTGGCCCGGTTCAAGGAGGGCAGCAGGAGGGTACCTGGGCGTGCACAGGTGGCAGGTGTGAGGCTGGCAGAAGACAGCACAGCCACAGGCGCCCCCCTGGGCTTCAGAGACTGGCCCAGGTTTCCCTGCTTGGAGTCAGCGCTGCCTGTGCCGGCTCCCTCTGGGGATTAATCCTCCTTTTATGCTGTTTAAATATTTGCAGGTGGAGGGAGGGAAGGCGAGAGGGCGGCACTGGT